ATGCTATAGATACTCTTAGACCCGATGCCCAAGTATGCACTGCGCAAAACATTATCTAATGCACAATATTTTATAACGGTTTAGCGTTTATGCGTGTTTTTTTGCCGCAAGTGTGGACTGAGCCAAAAAAAGGTTGGTAGCCATTAAAAAAAAGTTTTTAAAACAAAAATTATTAAAAAAAAAAAATATGAGTGAGGCGTCCAGATTTGGTTGTTCATAACTTCTCCTGCTAAGTGTTCTCCTATTTTCTGTTGTGAGGTTACTATTAATAATATGGTGGATCGTTATGCTGTTCTTAATTTTTAAATAAATTGAATTTGAATTCCAAAATCTATTTAATCTTTTCACTCAATAATAAATTGGAACGAATTTTTTTTAATTATTTAACTGACAGCGACACTTCTGTAATATAAATACATTCAAACCTCTCCATAATGAAATCATTAGTGCCTGCAAAAAAACTTCTTAATAGAGAGAATTCGCTATAGAAAGGTTCATATATATGAAAAAATATAAAAATCTCTGTGTCTTTAACAAAATTTCGTTATAGAGAGAAATAGGGTATAGGGAGATTCGCTATGGAGAGGTTTGACTGTATACTTTTATTAAGCTTGACGTTGCCAAAAATTTTAGTGATGCCCGTCTGTCTGTCCCTCTATTTTAAAGCTGGTTTGTGCAGTAATCACCCAGGATTTAAAATTGATAAAAAAAATGGTGTACGTTGATGTATTTAGTATACTGACTTAAACATATATGGAATGACTGAAGTCAGATGTATATATTCCATATGATTATAGGCATATAAATTTAACAACCAAAGCTATTTTTCTTTCACATTTGAAAAGGTGCATTGATTTTATTGAAATCAGGCATGCAATATATGTTCATACATATATGGATATTATTTGTAGTGCTTCAGTGTAACCAATATAATATATGTACCTTTATTTTAACTTTATTGATTACGCTAAATAACTCATTCTAAAAAACCCACTCTCATTTTCTCCTTTAAAAAGTTGTATACAATATTTGTATACCTAGTTCTAAAAAAATTTATGTTGGTTATAGATTCTTGATCCTTATTTGAAATTTTCTTTTAAATTAAAAAAAATTGGTAGCTTACTGTTAAATGTATGCAGAATGCTATCTCTCAAATACAACATATTGGTATAAATAAAGTAGTTTTTAAATCAGAAGGTAAAAACAATTGTTATATCTCTGTATTTCGGTATGGCTCAAAAACGAGTTGGTAAGGAACTGAAAGTTTCAGAAAAGTATTAGGATTGGTTATTGATAGGTCTAAGCAAAGATATGGAAATACAAATGGTGGTAATACTACCCAACGATTTTTTGAAAATGAAAGCATTTCTGCTACTATACCTGGACTGAACGAATGTCTAATTCACCGATTACATACTACATTAGAAGCTATATCATCTGTTTATAATATAAATACTAAAATATTTCATCATTATATTCTAGAAACAGCTGGAAAATTTGGAGAACTGTACAGCTGGTATTATATGCCTACTACCATTCATAAACTATTAATTCATGGACCATAAATAATATTTTAATTACTATTACCGATAGGTCTTGAAGACGGTCAAGAATTATGCAATAAGACTTTAAACAATTTTGCGAAGATTATTCGCCTAAAAGTTCGCGAATCGAAACAATGTATGATATAATTTTAGTTTCCTAATTACATCTGATCCATATATATCTAGTTGCCAAGAACTACCTTATAAGCCATTCAAATCGATGCCGACTGAAATGTCGCAGCAAATCAATTTAATTGGTAAAAAAAACTTGGTAAGATTAGAATGTTCCACTCAGAAGACATTGTCGCAACTATAACTTTGTTGTCTGAGGATGAATAATTGTTTTTACAGTTTCATTGAAAGTATTACGCCACCATGTTTTATCTTCAGTTTCCCTCATCTTCTACTTCCCTGCGGATTCCATTCAAGTATTGCGTGGATTTCATATTTCATCGTGTGTCCAAGCCAGCTATGCTTTCGTCTTTATATTTCATTATTTTTATTTTCTTGTTCAGTAATTTGCAATAAATCTTCATTTCTTATTCCCTTTGGCCACCAGATTATCAGGATAATTCGCAGACACCTGATAGTAAAGACCTATTAGCTTTTGCTTGATGTTAGAGTTTAAAAGCCGTGTCTCGCATCCATATAAAAGAATCGATTTTAGACATACATTAAAAACGTGTATTTTTGTTTTGGGAAACACAGAAGTCGATCGCTATACGTTACATAGTGAAGAAAACACAACTCTGGCTTGGTGGGCACGCTGTGATACATCTTTGAGTGTACCACCTTACTCTGAGATTATGTGCCCAAGATAGCAGAATTCACTTACGTTCTGAATTTGGTTGACATCAATGTAAAAACTTGGCAAACTTTTGATTTTTATTGTCCAAAGTTTCTGTTTTGTATATGTTAATGCGTGGTCCGATATTTGCTGCTACATTTGTTATGGTATCCATTTTGGTTTGCAATTGGTTTTTTGAATGTTAAGAGCACTATGTTGTCGGCATAGTCTAAATCTTTTAGGTGTTGGTTAATTCGCCATGAGATTTCGTGATTTGCAGCACTGCGTCTATTACTGCAAACAAGAATGGTGATAAAAAGCACCCCTGCTTTACTCTCCTTTGTACTCCATTGTCTTCAAGTGCATCCCAAATCGTTGTCTACCTACAACATGTGGTCTTATAGACATGTGGTCCATTTATATAATTTAAGTGGAGTTGTTATTTATCGATAATACTCGTTTGTGTATAGAAATGATTTCTCTGAATTTTCATAAGGATTCTGGTTAATAACTTTTGTTTTCGTTTATAAAGAAAGAGGTCTTTTTTTGGAAATTAATTTTTAATTTATATAATTAAAGATCCGACATCTTTTGATAATTTTTTTTCTTTCATCTCTATTCTTTAATAATATATTTAATTTTTGAATTTGTAGATTTTGGAATTTGCTTGAATTTAAAATCTGATAAACATTGTACATTAAAAATATTTTTAAACACACTATCTTCCTACCTGTAATTTATACATAAACAAAACTAGACCTAATGTGAGCTATATGCAAAGCGTTAAACGAAGTAAAGTTAGAAAACAGTTCTGAACCTGTTCGATTTAAGATTCAGTATGTTCTACTTACTCCAATAGGTGGTTAACATGTCGTCCAATAGACATGTGGTCATTTATAACATTTACTTATGGTAGTTGGCCAATACAGACGTGAGTCGTCCTTGACCGCGTCGGACGCCAGTGAGTCCGATTAGTTGCTTACTAGTACGGAGTGCCCCCAAATCGTTGGTCACCTGGTGCTTCCACCGAAGATGCATACGTACTCTAACGCGTTTTACACCTGCGGGTAACGTATCGAACACCTTTTTAGCCGGAGCGCTTTCTTTCATTCGCACGACATGACCAAACCAGCGAAGTCGCTTAATTTTTATGCGCTTAACTATGTCAATGTCGTTCCATCTAATTCGATACTCGTGGTCAATGCATAGCAGACCATAGATCTTTATATGAATTTTCAATAGGTTTCTAGTTAATAACTTTTGTTTTCGTTTATAAAGAGAATGAGGGCGTGTTTAGTTAATGTAAATATAAAGACCTGATAACTTTATGGTCTATTAATATCATATATTAGTTATTATAAATCGATAGTATATTATATGTATGTATGTAGTATGTATGAATCTTTTGGCAAAATTGCCACAAATACTTTTATTTAATTTAATTTTTCAAAACAATAAAGAAAGGAAAAATTTTTTAAATGTAAATCCAGTTTAATTGTTGTTAAGGTAACAAGAAAGTGAAATTAATGATGTACACTGGTAAAATGCTAATGAAACATCCGAATGCGTACAAACCCGTTAAACAGCGCAAAATAGTTTCGTTTAATAGTACAGTAATTTGTTTAAGAAACCAGATGCACGATACTACTACCTAGAAGTAGTTTATAAAAGTGTTAAGGTTTGGAAAGTAACCAAATATTAAAAACGTACTAAAGAAGCTATAACGCTGTTGACACTTGAACGACATTAAACAACTTATTAAACTTGAAATTAATGAAAGCTACAGCGGATGAACGGACGACCAGGCAAGCAAAAGTGTCATCTCTCTCTTCTGTGCCATTTTATTGTCGGACGCAAGTGCAAATGAACTACTAAACTACATACGGGGTTAAAGCATTAAAAACGCTATAACCCACGAACCAGGTAACTTTTAATGCTTAAATAACAATGCTCGAATAAGATATGAATGAACACATTTTTGTTTTTAAAAAAAATTTATTAGTTTTTATACTTAAGTTGTAGCGTAAAATAGTTTCTATAAGTGATATATGCATCTTAAAACCTAAAAATTTCACTTAAAATATTGGCAAATTACATACATATATACTTCACTATATTAAAATAATATTAATTTATTACTTTTTACTTTTTGCTTTTTTCAAAAAAAAAAATTAAATTTTCTAAACAGTTTTTAATATACAAGTTTGAAAATTTTAAGAAATACTTATAGTTTAGTGTGTGTGTAAAAACAAGTAATTAAATCAATAAAAAAAATATAAAAATAATAAATAATATAATTTTTTTAACATTCGGTAGTTTTTGTAAAACATAATTTATTTTAATCTTCAAAAATGTATCAGTTCACTTTTTTATTATTGCCTCAGTACGTCGGAACCTAGCATATTCACATTAGTGATATACACGATCTGGAGTAACAGTGTAAAGCAACAACAACAAAATGCATTAACTCGAATTATTGTTACCGCTTTACACTGTTATTATGTTACTCGGTTACCGAGCTCGTTACTCCAGATCGTGAATACTACTATCATATTTTTTTAGTATGGCAGTGTAATGTTGTTTATTTGTACTGAAACACTAAACATACTTCTTTATCATTAAAATACACATATCATATTATTTTCTAATGTTCGTAATAGTGCCATGTTTTACACGCACTTCGAAGGTAATGTACACAGTGTCGTTTGTGAGCAAAATAGTAATCCTTTCGAACAAGTCATTTTATGTCCCTTCATTACACCTGACGAGTTTTTGTAGCACACAAAATAGCTGTAGACGGAAGTCTGATCAGCAATTTTATCGCCCTCTTTGCAATAGTATTTACGTTTTTTCACGCCCGTCAATACTATCGGTTTAGCAGTGGTTGTGACAGTGGGTGCTACCGGCACTAATTGATGACTATATGCATTAGGCACATTACTTTTAATATAACCATTTTCTGGGTTTTTAATATGGTCCAGTTGATTGTCATATTGTAATAGAAGATTTCCCATATTTTGGGCTTTTAGTGTTTGATCTCGCTTTTTTTTTGCTTCTTGAAGTGCTTTCATCGCTTCCAATTGTATTCGCTTATTTTCATTTACTGTGTATGCACTAACCAATGCAGTTGGATTACATACAGAATATGTGTAGGCATCACATATGCGGGTCTGTGAATTGAATGCAGTATATGGGGGACAGGAGTATGAAAGAATCTTACCATCTTTTTTGCTGCAAACATAGTACCGTGTGCAGTCAGTTGCGTTAGGTTGGCGAACACCAGCAGCACATGTTATAACTTCGATATTGTCAAGATCGTTCTCAGGAGGTATATTACCAAATAGTGGTAATATGGAATTACGAAAAAGTTTATAACTCATAAAATTTCCACCAATATTCACGAGCTGATTATTTTCATTATAATTATTGTTTGAGTATGAATTTGGTTGATTTGCTATTCCATAAATGGGATATTTCGGTTTAAAGGAAGAACTAACTGAACTTTCTGGTCTTGGCATATATAAATTAGAGAGAGGTAAAATCGTGTTAACATCCGGTTTTTTCTCATATACTTTATCATATATTTGTGGTGAATGATGATGATATTGGCTGTTTAAGTTATAAACAATTTCATCCGTATCATCTTCCATACTTTCATACTTTTGTGAATTTGGACTTATTTTGACTTTACTTGGGTGAATCTGTTCTGGAAAAATAGGATCCACATGTATACTTTGGGAGTAAGCTGTAGGTTGATGATTACTATTTGGTCTATCTAAATCAATTGGTTGAGGTATATTATCATGTTGTACAGTTGAATAGGTATCAGATATTTGAAACAGTTTATTCACGTTATCGTTGCTCAGATGAGAGCTTGGTGTATAGTAATCAACAATCATTTCGGGTGTAGATTGATATTTAAATGGTCGATTTGTTGTTGCAGTGAGCTCAGTATTAAACGATGAAGGATACTGTGTTACATATTGATTAGTATCTGTTGTTGATATTACTGGCCGTACGGTAGTTATTGTTATAAATTTATTTATATTATTTTGATACTGTTTGTGGTTGTTAGAAAATGTGTTCTCTGGTTTTTGATAATCATATATTTCATTTTCTGTAAAATTTTCTTGCAAACCAATATTTGGTATAATTCCTAAATTATGCCCATATGTGTCCAAAATAGCTTTTTCAGCAGAATTTGTAGATGAAATATGTACAGGAATGACATTATTATGTATAATAGTTGTGCCTGGCTTACTGTATGCATTGTCAGAATATGACCCTTTTTTATGGGAATTATAATTGTTACGATGTCGTACGTATTTATTGTCGTAATTGTCGTCAATATAGTGCTTAACGTTGTTTGGATTATTATAATTTGTTGAGAAATGGCTTTCATGTGGCCTTTGTCCCGAAAATATATTTGCGGGTAAAAAAACTGGTTGCAGTATTGGCTGACCGTAAAAATTAGTATTTGGAATAACATTTGGCACATTTTGATCAGCAATCATTTGTTGAGATAGCTCATATACAGTTTTAAGTGTATCTTCAGATATTTTTGGTGAGGTATGGCTATAATCTACTGCATGAGGCAAAAATTGATGTTCAATGGGATATTGGGGTAGGTTAAACATAACAGAACCTTCAGGGCGATTAACAACAATTTGTGAATTTGAATAACCCGATTTACCATATTGCTTAGGAAAAGAATTTGTAAGCATTACTTTCATCTCTGGATCAAGTTTTTTATCTAAACCTTCCTGAGAGCTTGTATCATTTGTTGGTGGTGTTTCAATTTGATGAATAGTTGAGTCAATTGTTTGTGGAAATGATGCCTTGTGATGGTCACTAAAATCAGTAGAAGTTGGGTTTGTCATATCATATTTGTTTTTTATGTTAAAATGCGCCAAAAATGCATTTAGTTGATCAGGGCGCAGTTCAGGTTGCTCTTCAGCATTTTTGTTTTGATATTTTTGTTTTAAACTATCTATAAGTTGTGATAATCTTTGTAAGTGTTCTGTTAACTTTGGATCAATATTTTCTGATGGTTTTGGATGTTTAGAATTGCTTTCCTTTTTATCAGCATTAATTTCTATAGAGTAGTTCACAGCTTCTCGATTTTCTACTGGGAGAAAGCCATCAAATTCAAGGACTTCGCTGCCGTCTCCACTTGATTCACCTTCACTATCAAACTTCTCACTATTTGTCATATTGATTGCATTAATTATAACCTTTATATCTGAATCCTTTTCGTTTTTGACACTTTTCTCATTTTCTTCGCTTACTATATACATATCCGCGTCTCTATTTTTATGTATATCAGTTTCCGGTTTTTTCACATTTTTAAAAGTTTCTTCTTCATTCTTAACTTTATTGCTTATTTCATTACTTATGTCCTCTAAAACACACTCCCAATCATCATCGGGCAAAACACATACGCCCAAATTCTTCTCGTAAACTAAGCCTTTTTCACACTTTTCAGGTATCCAGACATGTTTTTTAGATGGCAGTTCAACACATTTGAAATATTCCTCACAACGCGTTTTATGTGCTCTCGTTTTCTGTAGGCATGGTGAAGCTGAAAAATATTTCAATGTATTAAATTATTTTAAAATAAAATAAGCATATTAAACACCTCAATAGAGGAATATAAATAAGTTTTTTTGAAGACTCAGAAGTTCTATTATAATCAGTATCCAAACAAACAAATACACTAGGATTCACATATGTTATTGTTTTATACATAATGTACAGTAAAAACTTTTTAAAACGAAGGATTTAATAGGCAAATATCTCTATCGTGCAATGTTGATAGTATCCAATATTCTTTTATCATAAAAACCACATATTTTATACGGACAATTCTCTTAACCGGTCAGTATCACTGGAATAATCAGTATCTGATTAAGAGCACTTTTTTAAGCGTCATAAAGAAGATATATTTTGTTCCTAACTGATTATCACAAATCTTTGCAATATATTTAAAATAAGTAATAGACATTAAGAACTACATTCTCATAACTATTAAAAATCAATTCTTTTAAAATATCAGATATAACCAAATGTGAAATAATTAAAAACTAAATTGATTGGGTTTAAGCAAAAGCATTTTTAATGGGTTCATTCGTTATAATATCAACCCAGTGAAGACTTTATGACTGACGATTATCCAAGTTATTACCATGGAAAAAAGTAAAGCGTTCCTTACCATATATAGCAATGTTGATAACGTTGTATAAAAGAAATTGTATTATAACTATATTTCAAAATTATACTATTTGAATAATTTTTTTAGACTATTAAGGTCTACATTTTTTAAGAATTTAGCTAATACTTTTAAAAAAGAACAACTGAAAATTTCTTAAAATCGGAACAAAAATTTATTCAAATCTATGAAAAAAATTCGATAAAATTTAAAACAAGTCAAAAATATCAGTTAAGACTAGAGTAACAAAATAAAAGAATTTCTAGACTTAACTATAAATAAACACTTCAAGTGGAAAGCACTTTTTTAAAGGTAAAATAATTTCGCACGCCCCAGGAATCAGCAGTGATCTTTTCCCTCTTCTACTTTCTACTCTTCTATATTCTTCTATTAACCTTAATGAAAGAATGGAATATTCATTTATAAACAAATCAGAAAAGTATTTCTTATACGGAAAAATCGGGATATAAGTAAAATACAAATATATATATTAAATATATATGAATATATATATAGTATATATATTATAAATAATATACATTCTTAAACAAAGTATTAAGTCCCATGGCTTTAATAAAAATTTTAGAAATAGAAATATTCATAGAGACCAACGAATTAACATATAGACAATGTTTTTAATATAAAATTCATGATAACTAAAGAAATATAATGTTTATAATGATTTTTATCATCAAATTGGATGAAACGGAGGCAGAACATGAAGGAATCTGAATTTCACAAAGGACTTTGCTGTCAAATATGAAAAATGACGTACACAGGGAAATAATTAAAATAAAAATATTATTAATATATTAAATAATTATAATTTTAAATGGAAATATTTATCCAAATCAAATCTCAGATATTGCAGACAGATGGCAAATAATTAATGTCATTGAAGTCGATAATGCTAATCCGATAATTGTACTAAAGAATTTACAGCTTCATATACTCGCATGTTCTCCTAAGTATATTGTAATATATTATGATTTAAAATGGAAATTATGCAGAAATATTCGTAGAGAGAGAAATGCATAAAAGAGTATAGAAATAACAAATTCGAAACCTTTCTTTGGCATTTCTTGAAAGCACTAGTTTATGTCCCGAAAAGACAATTTTGGACTATTCAATTTATAATTGAATCGGAATGAGTGAATGAGAGGAAGAGAGGAAGAATTTTACTCACTTTATAATACTAGACAGGCTGTATCCTTTGTGATATCATTGGGTTCAGTGCACTAACTACTACGCAACAACGGCTATACTCTGTACTAAGAGTTTTGTCTAAATTCAAACTATGCCTTTTAATATTATTAACTTAAAACACATATTCTGAAAAACTAATATTATTTTTATATATACATATCAATCAAAAATACTTGAAATATTTGCACAATAATTTTAATTAAATTTTTTTTAATTTTTTTGGTTTTTATATAATATTTTTCACTTTCCTTAGATTCAAAACAACGAAATCTGTTTTTAACACTTTTCAGATCAGTCTTTGTATATATTGTTGTGTATTTAGATAAATTTGGTGAATATTTCTGCATATATAATATACTGTTTTTGAAATTTTAGAACGTAACGCACTTTCTACTAAAAGTAAGATTACGATTATACAAACAAAAATATTATGTACCTTCTGAAAAATAAAATAAAACACAATATATAAAAATCTTTAATTCAATTATTCGCAACTTTATCATCTCTAAAACACGGTATTGAACTCGGATATAAACAACTTCGTTTACGATTATTATTAATAATATTGTATGTATATTGCTGTGTTTGATAATCCTTTTGTAAAAAAATCCGACAAATATAAACCAATAAGACCGAGGTTCTGTTTGGTATGGCGTCTAGACTACGAATGATTGTTATTAACATGGATGAGTAATAAAGTTTAGTCGTTTTTGAAACTGAAGAATTAAAACGTTTAACCAAGTATATAAACTAATAAAGCCATTATTACTAAATCTATTTTCAAATGCGGAAAAAAGTTTTGAATTGAGCAAGTGTAAAAATTTCATTCTACAGTCACACTTTCTGTGGTAAATGTTGTCTTCCATACCAACACTACTCACTAACCGCTTAAAGTTGTTCTCTCTTTTCTGCTGCTCGGAATAAGAAGGTATCAACCAGGTCAAGTTATACATTTTTATTTTTAACAACAAATAAATTAGTATTACACGCCACGCCGCTAGTGTAATATGTTTAAACTTTTCCTGTCAATAATAAATGTAACGTTTCACTCCTCACACCTCTGTCCCACCATTGAGTACCTTTAGCAAATATGACAACTGTGTGAGTTAAGAGTTATAAATTACTAAATCAAACACAGTTTATAGCCAAATAACGACATGAGTACCAAAATACTTGTTACACGTGATATTAAAAAATAAAAATATTAGAAATAAAAATTTCACTAATATCTCAAAAACCACTTTAATTTTAATTATATTTAATATTAGTTTATTTATGTTTTTTTTTCACTATTTAGTAATAAGTGAAAAAAAATTTGTTATATGTTATACATAATATTAAATAAGAACTTAAGTTTGTTTTAGATAATACATATTCAATTGGATGTCTTAATTGTTGTTAAGAACATCAAAATGCTGTTATTAGCAATTTTTAAACTGGAGATTTGAAAAGGAACAATAGTTAAATTTAGCTATTTCACAGCCCATATACACTTCACGCCTATATTGGCTGCTAGTCTGCACCATACACTAAAGCGTAGTAGTGACACCACAAACCCTAGTGAAACCATTTACTTTCACTAAGAACTCCACATCGTTCTATAAAGTGAATGAAATATTTTTTTTGTAAATGTATTAAGGCCTATCTGTATATAATGGGTATTTATATAATGGGCTTTCATCTCTTTCCCATGATTACTGGTAAGAAGTGGTTTTAGTGGGTTCAAGTCTCACACTGTGGCTTTTGTAAATATTAGAAAAGGTACAAACGCTGTTTGATCTTTGTAAGTACAGTGTCAGAACCGGTTACAAATAATATATAATGTATAATATATAATTTATAGTGATATAAATTAAAATATAAATTAAAATATGTATATTATGTATATTTACATAAATTTATTTATTTTTATTTATTTATGTTCATTTATTAATTTATGACACTTTTGATCGATAAATCTGGATGCAATCTAGATTTACTCTCTTTCTATTAAATTTAATAGCCCAATCGAGCATATTTAAAGTAATCTAATATTTTTTTATTTATATTTTTCATAAATACATTCATATGAATATCGAATCAAATCACACTTTATTTGTCAAGTCATATAGCTTTTAGCTTTTAATTTCAGGGTTATCATGCTACTCTGGAAAATATCTAGAATGTTATAAATTAATCTCGAGTGTTACACATTTCGCTTAAGATTTACCAAAGACAAATGAAAGTAAATCTTTATTAAAAAAGTTACCCCAGATTTACCAATGGAAAATGGCATTAAGAAACTATACTCTATATATTTTTTACATATTCTTATTTACATATAATTTCCTCACTAGGAAAATTTAATTGCAATATTTTTTTGATGGTTACATTTTAAACGCATATATTCTATATCGTCGAAGTCGACGCGGATTTGTTTCAGGTAATAACTTTTCAAATGTTCTAAAGACAAAAGAAACAACAATTTTTTTTTGTGTTTGGTCATTAAAACCAGTAGCCAGAAACCAAATTCGACTTTAACCGTTTCGATCTTTAAATTCAGTTGGTCGCTATAATAGGTGACGTATGCGATTTCTACTGTATATTTAATATTGCATCATATAATATCTGGTAGAGAGATTTCGAAAAGTAGTAAACTACAACAACAAAAATTCTTTTTATATTATTTTAATTAATTGAATTTTTAGCTGACCATATACTCGTTTCAAGTATTGCTAATTACTCATATAATATCATATAATATGAGATATAATATCATAATTATAATATCACAAATCATGTAACTCATTAAAATTATTTTCATTCAATATTTTTTGCATTCTTTGTTAAAAATGTCGTCTATATAATATATAGAAAGAAAATATCTAACTTATGCTGAAAAGAATAAACAAATTTATTATAATAATAAACAAATTAAACAATACTTACCATAATAATAAATTCATGTTACATTAATTTATATTAATTATGAGTATGAGGAACTAAGCCATTAAGATTTCGAATAATTCCGATTACGCGCCATCGTATTTGATTACTCTCCATGCGTTGAAAATAAGCATATTTTTCTGTCGATCCTTTTTCTACATTTAATTTTATGTTCTTAATGCTTTCTTCTTCTTCAAGGATTTAATTTCAGTGCAACGTATGTACGCACATTTACTGACTTTCTTATTAAGTGCCACAATTAACCTTATATTCGTGTAGTAATTAATTGATCGCTTAGTTGGTGCTCAGTTATGGTGCATTGCTATAGTCATCTATTGATGTGTTTTTAAAGCTTATGTAAGAGTTAGGCTATTATAAATCACATGTTTGCCCTACAGGAAACCCTAACTTGATGAATCGATTAAGAAGCTTTATTCTTAATTTCAAATGCAACTCATTTGAACTTTATACTTTTAAAGTTCACCAAACGCTTTTACCTCCTTTTTAAGTCAAAAATAGATATTATAAAAAATAGATACTAGATGCTTATTAGTATTACTGCAAGTATATGATAAGGGAGTGTTTTTTTTGTAATTCTGTACCCAAGTAATGTTAATAATCAATATTAATTTATTATGGCCATTTAGTGTAAATATTCATAACCAGATCTGAGTCCTGCTAAGGTGTAGATTCATTAATTAAATCGATCACATATTGATATATAAGGGACACATATCATTAATACTTATGTGAGATCTTGCAATTTAGATCATTATATATTAGTTTTGTAGATTTAAAAATAATAGTACAAATTGGTGTAGGAAGATTTACAGAATATAGATAAAGCTGTTACAAATAAGTCCGTAAAACTGTCTTAATAAAAAATAAAATAAAATAAATTAACAAATCATGCCTCTATGAACAGAATAGTGTTGAAATTTAACAATTGAAAATAAAAAATATAATTAATTAATTCAATTATTCTACAGCTGGTTTATGATTTCGTTCTAATATAAACACAGCAAATAAAATTGTTAATAAAAAAACTTTCATAGCAAAAGTAACAAAACTCCAGAAAAATATGCGAACAAAAAAGTCAAGTACGGCTTTGGATCGGTTGGTTAAGGTGCGCTGATTCTGAGCATCACATTTGGCAGGACCCGAGTTCGATTCCTGGTACTTGCGGTCTCAAAAATAATTATTTACGAATAATTAAATACAAGAATTATTTCCAAGACCACTGATGATGGGTATTTGGCAATACTCGAAACAGCTGTATGGTCAGCCAAAAATTCAATTAATTAAAATAATATAAAAAATAAAATTTTTGTTGTTTTATTTCACTACTGTTCAAAAAAACCTCTTTATAAAATAAATTAAAAAGATTTTCGAACAGAAAAAGAATAAAATGATAGAGAACTTGAAAAAAAAATTTTTTGGACAAAAACGAAATGCGTTAAACAAGCATTAAACTTAATACCTCAAACATGCCCATACGCCTAAAACCACACTTCACTAATAAATAATACGAAATGGAATGCAGAGAAGTAAGAGCGATGCAAGGAAAACTTACTTTAAAATAGCTTAAAATAACTTACTTTAAAATTACTTCAAAATGGCCAAAAAAAAATAATTAACAAAAAAAATAAAAAGGAGAGAATTTACTAACAAACGAAATATATACGATAAATGAACCTATTATTGAAAACATCAAAAAAAAGAAATTGAGAAACTGAAACACCACAACTATACAACTCTACTTATTAGATCTATGTGAGAGACCTTCGACCAAATTAACTAATATTTTTGTTCAATTTTCACTTTCTGCTTTTATTGTACATCATTTTATTTCTTTTAATATGCGTATTTATGTAGTTTATTCTACAAAATGAATTCAGCTATCCGCCTAGCGATTTAATAATGCTTTTAATGCGCTCAGGAGAAGCACTAAAGTGCATTGTTTTTATTAAAGCTCAGTTAGACGGTAGGTAACGTAAGAAATTAATTCTAAGCGAAATGCACAACCAACCAAATCTACGTATTTGATAGGAACAAAAACGGTGTACTTTGTTTATTTCGTTTCTATCAAACACACAAGTTTGGTTGGTTGGGCATTTCGCTTTGAATTAATTTCTTACGTTACCTACCGTCTAACTGAGCCTTGAAGAAGTCGAGTTCATTTTTTATTACTATATCATTGAAAGTGAGCGTTTTTTTTCATAGAAATAATTTCTTTTATAGAAATTAATATAAAATATATTTTACAGAAATTATAATTTCTCTTTATAAAAATTAATATAGAATATATTTTATAGAAATTATTTATTTTTTTAAAAATTTTCTATAGACAATATAGACAATTTCTACAAAATAAACTCAGCAATCCACCGAACGGTTTAACAGTGCTTTTAATGCGTTCCGAAGAAAAAACATTTCTATTTTTTTGTTCCGAAGAAGCAGTACAGCGCATTACTTCTCTTGAAGAAGAAATTATAATTTCTTATATAGAAATTAATATAGAATATATTTTATGGAAATTATAATTTCTCTTTATAAAAATTAATATAGAATATATTTTGTAGAAATTATTTAAAAAAAAATAATTTTCTTTTTAGCAATCAGAGCATTCGTTTCTAATGTCAGTATCTCAATTTATTGAGTAGTATCTGAAATGTGCACTGTTGTACTGTAATTTTCATATTACATCAATGATTAACACAGATTAACAACACTAAGATATTATTTTCCAATTATTACTATGATTTATTATAATTTTAATTTGAGTCATTAATAATAAAAAAAATGTTATAATAACATAAAAAGTAATCTTAAGAATACAATGTAGATAATTTTATTTAAAAAGTAACCTTGATCTTCTTAAAATTTTTTATGTATATTATTCACATCGCTCACATATTAAATAAAACAATACAATCGATTTTTTTATACATTTTATTTTAGGACCGATCAACAAATAATTAAATTTTTACAACAATTGAGCCCCAAAGACAGTTCAAATAAATTTATCACTCTGGCAACAATTTCGAGTTTTATTTTTCTTTTTTTTTTCAATCAATCAGTTTTTAATTAGTTTGAATTTTTTTAATTATAAATACAACTTTGTATTATTATTTTTTACCATTAAAGATGACTTCTATGTTACAATGCTAAACAGCAAAATTTATTTTTCTTTTTTAATCTCCCACCTACAATAACTAATTGTTGCCATTACGAACAAGAGATTATGACGTATAGGTCTATATTTTTGGATAGTCCGTTGTTATGGTATGAATATTTCACCGATTAAATTTTTTTATTTTATATTTGTTTAGTTATGAAGAATAAAAGATTTGCAATTGAAGGACAAATTTTTATGCCATACGCGATCAGATTTATTTGATTTATTTTTTACATGAACACATCTTAAACATGAAGACATCTTTAATATCTGAATTTATAATTTATAATATATATCATATACAATCATTCTATCCAAAAATGTATCGAGCATTTGTAATTCAAAAATGTTTGAATAGTAATTTATTAGAACACCAGCTGTTTCGAGAATAACCAAAAAGCGATCATCAGTGGTTTTTGAAAATAATTATTAAATTCAATTATTGGCAAATAATATGTTAGATTATAAGTAACAAAATTTGATCTTATACCCTGTCAAAGTTTAAGTGCTCTGCACTTCTAGAGAACTGACTCAACACCGCATTTGACTTGATTGCTTTTTTATCTTAAAACTTTTATCCATTTATTATTCCAGCAACAAATTTACAATACATAATTAATATAACTATTATAATTTTCTTCTATTACCGTACTATTCTTATTATTTATATGCATATTTTTATTTAATTCTTTCTTATGTTTAGTTTCTATAACAAGCTTTCGACTTGTTATTACAGATCAGTTGGGTTAAAATTATCCTACGATCAGTTTAAGCGATTCGAAATAATAAAATAGTTTTTTTATTATACATATTTGACTTCAATAAATTTGAATTAAATTTTTATGTAAATTGTTTTTTTTTTGCAAACTTTTTTTTGACATTATATTCATACATCCTTAACAGATCGCGATCAACCGTGATAATGTGTTGTATGTATGGTAGAGCATTCATAGACAGTAATAGTTCACTATTCCCTCACACACTACATGGTGCTACCGAGTATTACCGAGTTAGATAAAAATTTTTATTCAGATTTCTTAAAGTTTACATCTATTATATTATACAAAATTTCGATACTTTTTGGTCAGAATGTTCTATATTAATAATTGAGATTGAGAATATTTTTTTAGGATTGTAAATTAAACATTTTGTTTTTGATATCTACATATTTTCTTTCTGATCGTAATCAGATAGGAAAATACTACATTTATTTAAATCATATTTTTATAAAAAAATAAGTAAGCCTAATTTAAGCGTACATAGTAAATATTATTTTATTTATAATATTTTTTAATACATATCACTTGTAGGGAAATACAAATCATATTTCTTCAGATACTAAACCATACCAAACCCTTCACTACCTTCGCTTATGGCCAAAAGTAACGATTTCTCAAATTGCTCATAGCTTTCGTAGTCTGGTAAACAAAGTTGATTGAAACTGAAATTAAAAACAAATAGTTTTATGCATGAATATATAAATATAGTTTCCAGATTTTCAATTTTAATTATTTAACTATAAAAATATAATATAATTGCATTGCGCAATTATAAAAAAGATAAATACTCTATATTCGCATATGCAAAAACGTAGTGATAATCATACTCAGATTTTTGGTTCTCAACGCTTATAGTTCTTATAAATCATTTTCAGGATCTTGTGTTTTATTTTAAGAAATATATAGAAGTCACATAACAAAAAGTATACAGTTATCAATAGACAGTACTTATAACTCAGCTAAGTTTCACAAGAGGCTTCAGCGAAGTTGTGAAAACATTTATATGACATTCGTTTTATAGGACTTTAGAATTGCAACAAGTTTTGAATTAGGCGTCTTATATCGGATAAAAGGAAGTGACTTTAAGCAAAATAGAAATATATACTACGGTATGGCATATTATTAGCTTGTACAGTAAAACTAACATGAGATTGATGGTAGTCTGATAATTTTTTAGTGCTTTAGTGGAAGTAAAAAATAACATGATAAATTGCTGTGAAGACAAAAAAATAAATATAGTGATTTTTTTCGATAAGGTGATCAAAAACACAGAATCCATTCTGGTTGATTTCATGACATATCATGATTTAGTTTAAAGTGTGACATCAATAGTTCAACTCTTATAAAGACAAACTTAGTTTTTCTTGTTCGCATGTATTTTTGAAAATTAGTTGAACAAACTATAATAATAATATACAGAAAAGCTGTCGACCTGTAACGAAACTAGTGATTAAATTAAAAAAGAATTATACCATGGCGTATATTCACGCTAAATCTTTGATATAAATGTCAGAATTCCACAGCCTTTATGGACGTTTATACAATTTATGAACTTGAAACAACTTTGTGTGCTGTAATATAATATTAAAAATGGTCAATGGTTTTGTTGATCATTAAATCATCGAATAATGATAAATAACGTTATGTAAACATGTAACATTTACTCTCAATAGTACAGCCATATTGCAGGCAACTGCAGTTTTTACCATGCGGTATATTAGGTGTTCCGGTATGAAATGAGCGTTTTTTGGTGAAAATAAAACACTACTTATTAATAGGAAACAAAAAACATTTTATTCAAAGTATTGGCCATTGCTTTCTACACATTTTGACCACCTTTCTGGCAATTTGTGGATATTTGTGGTATATTCTATATAAATGTTTTGAATCCCTAAAAGTTTAAATTAATTAATATCTGGCAGAAGCTGTATCAATTTTTCTATATTCTCTCTAAGTTTAGAATACAAAATCTGCCTCCTATGTTAATTAGGAGCAATGCCAGCTAATAACATTAAAGGTATATAAAGAACTCAATCCAAGATTGAAAGAATGATAACAAGAAAAATGTTGTAACTTAAATAATTATACCTAAATTTGTACTAAATAAATATGTACATAAAAATATAAAACTTATCGAAAATATAATTTAGAAAAACTAACCACGTATGTGCCGTTGGTAAACTTCCAAAAGTTGGTGCCGCTGTTATTTGAAATTGTGGGTTTAGCTCTTGAAAACCTCCAGGTGGTAATTGTGAACATCCTGTTGTAAACTGCAGTAAGCGGGCCATTTCTGTTTGACTAAAATTGCTAACACCCGCCCAGAACCAAGCCAGTACTCGACGAAATTCCGCTGAACTGCCATTAGCAATATGATGAGCCTTGAAATCTGTTATCGAATATTCTCCCGTACCACACATCAACAGCTGTAAACAAAAGATGTTAAGAAAAGAAACAATTATATATAATTGTACACCCACCTCCAATTCGTTTTCATCGAATATACTCAGTAGATTATCTGGTATAATGCCATTTAAACCCTTCAAAAAACTATCCACTTCATCTTTTACACTATTGCATAAACGTTGTTGTGCTAAAGCATCCAAATATTGAATTTTAGTTGCATTCGTGACCCTTACTTTAGAGCCATTAGGTATTAAATCTATAGTTTTGCTTAGTTGGCCATTTGAGTCATAAATTTCTTCAACGAAATATAGTTCTAAGGCATCTGTTGTATTTAGGTCAGTGTCAAGTATATATTTTATTTTAGATAAATATAAATCCGGATCATCTTGCTCGAAATACTATATTTCAACACATGGTATAAATGCGTTTACATAAATTAATATATATATTACCTTATAATGTACTCGAAGTCCAATTAATTGTGCTAAAAACGATCTAGTAAATCTCGCACGAACTAACTGTCGATATGAACCACCTAGTGCACTTTCATATAAACATTTTCCCACAATTTTGCCTGCAAACTCAAAATGCTTTAATTTAAGGTGTGGTGAACGACTTGAGTTAGGATGTACTAGAGCTTGATGCTTGTCATGGAATGAACAAAAAAGACCTCCTCGTGGATCAAATAAAGCACTACATATCAATTCGAACCATTCACGTCGCAGACCTCCCCAATCAATACCTTCAGTTCATTTAATACAAAAATTTAAGCACATATTGATTTTTTTTTGCAATTTATTACCTTGCTCGCCGAAGAATGTTACTTCGAAATTCCCGCACCAATCTGACACTGAAAATCCCTTAGTAGCTTTCATACTACTCTCCAGTATTTTGTCACGATGTACTTTTAAAACTAACTTATCGTGAAAACAGGATGAATGAAACTTTCGTACTTCATGGTAAAAAAAGTCCTGTTTATCCTTAAAAGTCTCAGAACCGCCAATATTTTTTAACAAAAAATGTGTGAATGTTGCAGCTATGATATTTCGATCCTTCGATGCTAATTCAATTTTTGGTTGCGCCCCATCATCTATAATGAATACTGGCCCATATGTATGTGATTCGAGTTGTGGTAAAAAGTGAAATTTCGTTGACGGACACAAACGAAATGTAGCAATACGTTTCGGTATGAATTTCAAAATCATTTCCTTGATCGTTATCTAAAATGTATTAAATTTTAAACTTAAATTAAATGGACCCGTAAAAATAATAATTTTAAATCGAAATATATGAACTCACTTGCTTTGGACCAACGAAGCAAATCACCTTACGTGGTTTTGTTTTTGTAGGAACATTACAATTTCCTAATAACTTAGCTTCATAACAAATGTTGTGCTTCCTTGATGCAATATTTTTGTGAACCAGTGTTGTATCACTACCTAGTAAAAGTAGTTAAAATATGTATATTTAAGTTGTACATGTACACAGATAAGTTTTCTAATATGCAGTTAATTAATATAACACATATAAAAAGCTAAGACATTAAGATTGACATGTGATAAAGTAAAAATCTTATAACAGAGACTAAAATCCGCATTCGAATAAATAAATCCTATACCCTGAACCAACACAAAATAATTGCATACTATTTAACACTTATTGCACTCCATTGCAATGTTTACTCTAAGAATCTTTCTTAATAATGAAGTTGTTAGACCACCCCTTTGATGGAATTAATTTTCCATCTTAAGTAATGGTATGGGCACTATGACGGCCGTTGAAGGCTCTCTAATCGTTTTCATCGAGCCTGATCGCAAATTCAATGCGATTTATTAACTGAAAAATGTTTTTGAAGTTGCTTTAGACCTTTCCAACAAGACTCGGCAACATCTGATAAAGCTCGTGTGAACCAAGGATTGTTAAAAAATCATGTTCCACACTTCATTTCATCCACACAATGGCTTTCGAATTCGCTAGATGCAAATCCGATGAACTTTTTCATCTGAGCCATTTTGGAGAGCAAGATAAGGAATAAAAAATATACTAGTACGGATGCTCTGAAGAAAGCTATTGTACCGGAAGATCACACTCGTGAAGTAGTAACTCATTTTTAACCGTTTGAAGGCCATATTCAGGGCAAAAGGTGGTCACATTAACCTAGAGTGAATGGATTCGGAAATTTTGATTATTTCCACAAATTTTAGTAATTTGAATCAATAAAAAATAATTTCACACAAAAAAGGTATGGTCAGTTGAATAGGTAACACTTTAATCGCCTAACCCTGTATGTAAATATTGAACAAAACGGTGTGGGTGCGTAAATCAAGTAAATCAAGTCCGTCTAACTTTCTCATCAAATATATGTGTTGAACTTTATAAAAAGCAATTTGGTCTGGTTACAATATAACAAGATGCGTTTAAGCATACAATATAAAAAATTGTAGATATTTCATAATGACCAATTGCATTCAATTGTTAACAGTTGGAATAACAGAACATTATTCCAAAGCAGAAAACAAGCTATTAATCCAAAGATTAATATACCGATAAACAGATAGATTAATAGCACTTAATCAATTTGTTTGATACGTTGGTCAAAATATTGTGCTCTATTTATTTTATATTAGTTGTGAATGTATTTTTGAAAGAATATTTTTCAATACGTATATGTTACATTTTGGTCTTTTGGCGTAAGAGCCCTGTACTTATAACATTTATTTTTTAAACCAATTTCTATTAATAAATTAGACCTAACCAATTTATGTTCTTTAAGACTTTAAGCAGTCGGATTTTTTTGTTAGTAAAGTTAAGAGGCTACTATACCCGTTTGTAATGCTACAAACCTTCATCGGTGGTTAAGATCAGAAATGATTCCTCAGTTAAATAGTTACTATTATATTCATGATATCATCAAGAAAATGAAGAAATAGATGCTCCTACTAAATAATAAACCTTTTGTATGTCCATCTATGCAACTAGCTGCGAAAAATGGACTAAACAGGAGCTCACTGTTATAAGTCCATACAATGCGCTGAATTAGAAAGCAATACTATAAAGTTATAGTATACTTTATAGTATTAAGCAAATCAGCTATTTCACGCTGTGTTAGGCAAAAAAATATCACTAAGCCCTTTGGATTTTGAGATTTGTGAGAATTTTGAATTCACTCAAAAACTCCTTTTTAGCTCAATAAGCGAAGAGTATATACAGGAATTTAGAAAATAAAAGGTAGAGATTTTTATACTCTATACAAGTTGGTAAAAATATATACTAAAGAACACTGACTTCGACACACCCAACTAAGCTCATCGCTAATTTAGGTCGTGATTAAACAGTTGACACTGAGTTTGCGGCTACATTATCTAGTATCATTTGGATGTATAGTGTGGTTAGTCAAGTGAAAATAAAAGTTCCGATACTACAGGTAGCAAAGACATTAGTTTATATGACTTGTTTTCCTCAAACGGTTTTTACAATTAAAATGATTTCTTTTCACACAACATTTGTGAGTTAAGCGACGTAATATATTTAGAGGATTAACAATGCAATAAAATCGAAATGTGGTTTCCTCAGTGAGAGTTATTGTCTACGGACTTTATGCGAAGCAAAGAAACCGCATATAAAAAATCTGAAGAACTGCTTTATAAAATTCATGGTATTAGAGATAACGACTCTATTGAATTTGATTAAATCTAAGTTTATAAGGGTTAAAAATCCTTTAATCGTTAAAGAATTCAGTTAACACATACAATATACATAAAGAACAGTGCCTTATTTAAAAAAATATGCCATACCACTATTGTTGACATACGTTTTGACATAAGTCAATGAACGCAATAACTAAAATACATATTATTTAGTAACTTATGGTATAAGTACTACTTATAATTACTAGAGCAGGTGAGATACATGTATACTGAACATTTCAATATTTGACAGACTATATTGTTAAAAAAAAACATTTAGTTTAAATAATACAAGAACATATTCAACAGCAACATGAACATTTAGCTTATATACATTATACTTACTACTTAGGACTATAATATCGAATTCACCATTTGGTAACTTTTGTTCAAGATAACTAATGACGGCTCTTAAACAAATTGGCTTTTGAAACAAAGCTGTTACGGATACTCTGGAGTTAACTTTATCATAGAAGAATGTTATTGCGCGCTCTAACTTCTCGATTGGTTGATTAATAAGATCGAAAATTTCTACACGATAACCCTAGAATTATAAATGTGTAATATATTTTTATAAAGTAATTAATTATTGTGTGACTTAATATTTAATATAAAGATTTTTTTCAGAATTTTAAATCAAATATAAGATTTAGAGTAATCTATGTCTAATTATATAAGTCAAGAAAAAATTTTAAATTTTTAAGTAAAGTAATTTAGTTAGAGATTAAAAATATCCTCCGGTTGAAATAAAAACAAATCAATTTAATTGTAATGGAAACTAAAAACACATTGCAATTAAAAATATTTAATTATGGTTAAATTAATTAATTAAGCATTACAAAGTGCGCACTTTTTTTGTAAGTGTACACTCAAATAAAATACATCGCTTATTAATACTAAACTTGAAAATAGAATTATAAACAACTGTAAAAATTGATACATGCAGTCATATTTATATATAGTTGGTATACTTGATGCTAGAAATGGAAAACATATACATATTTCGACTAATCATAAAAATGAAGCCGCGATATTGGAACAAAGTCTGTTAAACTAAATGCTAGAGCATAAGCTCCCAACTTCGAATACAAATTCAGGTAAAGTTTTTTATTAACAAAAATTTAAAAAAATACATAAATTAAAAAATATAAACATAAGAATAAAATATTTAGAATTTTTATAATATAAAACATGCAAATTGTCGTTGGTAATCATAACTCAATCATATATGTTAGAACGCTGTTATGAATTTAATGGATTACATGATTATACATACAAAAATACATTCTTTGATAGCGAAAATAGATTGTTCCATTTATTCAAATAAAAAAAAAGAAACCAATCTTTCTATACACAAATTTTTATCTAATTCATTAACTTATTTGACGACCTATGCCAAAGTTTTAATCGACCGGTATAATTTTGTAACTGAAATTATCCAAACAACAGGTCTCTAAACTACAAACCACTAAAAAATTAATCCCAGTGATAAGCGATAAAGACAACCTCATCCCAATTATACTGATTCCAGTTCTCTTTGTATACATCAACAGCCCGTTCATTTACTTTAATCATTGCATCGGAAGGATCGGTAGGATACAATGATTAATTTACCTGAAGACTACTTTTAATCTAAAGTAATTATGTTTATAATTTTGTTTAAAACTGAAATTTACAACAAATAACAAAATCTGAAATATTTAAATAGATTTTGCGCAGAAAGTATTAGGAATTAATAAATTAAAAAAAATAACTCCCGGTGACTGCAATTCAACCATATTAGCGCTTGACGCAATCCTATAAACATTTAGTATAATGTTGAACTCCTTAAGTGAATATTTTTTGATGGTTAGAACCGACACAAAACACTTTTCTCAAGTGGTAATTCTAGCAAAGCATGAGTTTTTCAAAAGTCTTTTGTATAACAACGGTTTCACACCACCACAGAACACTTAAGAGTATAATTGTAAAACCTAGCTGGGGAAACAGATCGCGCTCAAATCTCGCATGGTAACACAATACAGTTTTATTAATACCAAATGCACAGAAAAAAAATTATGGCGTTATCCTTTACGGACACTACTTAAAAAATACTTTTTATAGAGAATAATATAGTTTTGATGCCATTTTTATCTTGTTAAATATCGAATTTCTCTTTTCCTTGAATTTAGTTTAATTTAAAACTTTGGTTTTGCTTCTAAGAAAATCGGAGCACTAAACTAATGAATATTCAGATTTAAAAATAAGTTAATTTAAATAACAATACATAAAAAAATCTACTGTCCATTTTTAATATTTGTATTTATTTTTGAATATTACCTTTATAAGATTATCATCGTTTTCAAATATGCACGCATTACCAAACTCATCTCTAGGTTCAATATGCAATAAAGTAGGTGTACCAGCACAACAAACGACAGTGCTAGCTGGACGTACAAAACGCGATCGACGAGCATCTACAGGGCCTGGCAAAAATGTTTTTAAAAATGGAGAGCCAGCAATATGACTAGAACCAATCAATACAGATATTTTATATTGACCTGCAGTGCGTACAGTGAATTTAACTTTAGCGATATTTGCATTATTAGGATTAGTTGATGAACCCAGTTCACTAATGGTAACTACCTATATATCCAAACATTTAAGAGTAATTGTTAAACTATGCAAAAAAAGTTTAGGTACAACAACTAACCTTTCGTGTTCCTTCGGTTACTTCAACAAAAAATTGGTCTGTATCACAGATAGGATAAGGCTGTCCATTGCGTTGAAAAAATCTTACTAGAAAACACATGGTGTCTCCAACAATGGTTGGATCATTCCAGTCCCATTGAACTTTACAATTTGCTGGTAACAAATATTTACCTGTAACATATTGCAAAAGTGAGTGCCTTGCTTCAGGCGCCAACGAAGGTTGTGTCATAGCAGCAAGAGTAACTAGTCCAGCTACTGAAACAGACACAACTAGCATGCCACCCCATGTCCAAGCGTCTTGATGTTGACTCGACTTAACAACAGTTGACCAAAGTTGTGCTTTAAGCACTTCTAATTGAGACTTAGAAGTTGGTAATGTTTGACGAGCTTGAGACCAAATTTGCCAGTCTTTTCCAAGTATCTTACTTGCTCGTGAATCTTCCAACCAATAGACGTCTTCCAATGAAGAAACCTCTACTGATACTAAACGTTGATAATAATGCTGCAGACTATGATCACGTAACCATTCACGTAATATTAGTTTTTGTTGCAAATGCAAAGCCGCGCGCTGTAATCGCTGTTCATCTCCGGGCGGCAGTTCAGGGAGACGTTCAGGATCGCCACAACTTGATAATGAAGATATGCCTGGAAGAAAAATATAATATATTTGAAACAATTACGTGTTTGTAACGAAAATGTAATAATATTTAAAAATTGAAAATATGTACAACGTTTTAGCATAAGGAAACCTATTTTATTGATAGTTCCTAATTTATTGAAAACTTAATCACAAAAACAAATATAAAAAAAGGAATATAAACTTTGTCCGATTTGCAGTCTTTTATAATGTCTTGCGATACCAGACAGTAGTAGATTTTTTCACCAAATTTATGCCATTTTTAATAATTTTTTTAATAATAATTGAGAAAAACTAAAATAAAATTTATTTAAAACCTACTAGTCATACCCTATAATGACAGAGTGTGGCTCTGAGGATAAGGAGGAGACCGTGCCAAAATCTGTGGTAACATAGAAAAAATAAATATCCACTTATAAAAAGTGTTTAACAGAACTGAACACTCTTGTTATAGAAATGTATCTTATTTTAAATTGAAATGCCCTTAAATCCAAATAAGGACTGTTTTTCTGGTAAAACACTTTCTATATAAAAAGCTAACATATTAGCAACCCACCGAGATCACACTACAATGTGATCCAATTTAGTGAATGGACGGCACTGAAGGTCTGAAGCATGACTTTTAGGTAAGATGGTCTACAGATTACCTTAATGAGCTACAGCAGGACTGTCCAAAGCACCCGTGACATATTTTTAATCTAACACAATTACGCAAATTTTCTTTCACATTATTATAATATAATATAATCTTTCACATTATAATATACCAAATAAATGAATTAATAAATTAATTGACAAAGGATTATATTGGGCCAAAGATTGGGAAAATATGTGTTTAGAAAACCGGGTCTTTTAATAAGCAGTTTTCGGAATATAAACCAACGGAGTGAACTCGAATCCTTTGTCGCGAATGTTAGGTCGTGATCTCATAATATATATCCACAGCTGCAATATGATATTATACATAGTTTTTATTACAAAAATACTCTGCAACTATTGAGCCTTATTTTTAAATGAAGAGCCGGTCTTTTTAAACTGAACGATAGAGAATTTAATATATCTGAACGTGATTGTTCTTTGTGTAATCGTCATAGAAATAGAAAATATATGTAATTTTATTGGTGTATCCGATGTTCAGAGAACATAGACGTATTTTTTTTTTTGATAAAGGACTTCTGTCCGAAGAAGAAGTTAAAGTCTTGTTAAGTGGTAGCAATACTAATAACCTGTGTAAATTCATGAAGAGTGTTTTAAGTTACGGAGGATTAATTATTAAAGAATTTATATGAATAATAATGTTAATAATATGGACCATGTTTTTGTATGCCAATCTGACACACAATAAATATGTTATTGTCAATTTAGATTTTAAATAAAATTCTATAATTATTCTAAGTGCTGGATGAATTTTTTGAATTAATAATAAATAATAATAATAATACTTAATATTTACAAAATATTTGTTTTAGTGTTGAATTTGCCAATACAATTATACTCATAGCAGTTATAGGTTAAAAATAATTTTTCCATAAAATATCATCTAAAATTTAGTTATCGGAAAATATCTGCAATGCTATCTCTCTCAATTTATGCTTTGTCATAAGAAAAAATCAACAAATGTGATATAAAGCAGCCCAATTAGGCTTTACATTAAATAAAAACGTCAATTACATTAAATAACTGAAAACAATGTGCTTAAAATAAAACTTATCGAAAACTACAAGTATAATCACCGCCTAATAATATCTGATAAGCTACACAGGATAAGTAAATTGGTAATGTTAAATCAAATACACTCCTAATAGCCTTATTATAGTGCTTAATAATGAATTCGTAAGTGTCGCAACGATATTGTACTCCTGACACGATACCGCCAGGGCAATTACTTAGAAAAGAGCCATTAAGGAATAATTACTTAAGAAGTTAATCGAATATGGGTCATAATAAAATTTTTGATCCGGTGTGAGTGTGAGAAGGTAGGCGAATAAATTGCTATTAATGAGCCGTCTTAACTTTAAATGCTAAACCATTTTCTTATATAGTTTGTGTACTTCGTAATAATTTTGGCCGTTAGTAAGCTCATTCGATTAGTTTTTGTTTTAAAAGTTCTATATTAAATTATAAAGTTAGAATTTTCAATATGCAATAGACCCAGACAAATTATGTCATAAATGAATTAAAATACCACAATTATCACAAAGCAACCTTTGACTTAATAGTTGAAATTTATTAAAATTTTAATAAAAAAACAAAGGAAAATATATTATTGTAAGGAAAGCAAATAGCATACGAACTATAAATTTTAAAATTATTTATATAGCTTTAATATTTTTGGCATTAATTTGATGGTTAAAAAATAATTTTTTGGTATGTATTATCGTTATTTATTGTAATATACATATACTATGTGCTAGATTAATAACTCTCTCCCACTGCGGTGAGTTTGCTTCAACCAGTGTTATTATCTTACAAAGGATAATATATTATAATATATTACTCTTCTGATAATTAATTATTACTCACTAGCATAAACCGAAACGCGTTATTTTCCCTGACGTTAAAGACCAATTATTTTTCTGCAATTTTTCTGGATTAGATATATTAAAAGCGAAATTATCTATTACTTTCATTTAAAGATGTATTAAGAATATGTTATAGCAAAACATATGTTCATAACTATAATCAGATCTTTGTACAAAAGGGTTTATAATGCAAATATGAGATTATATGTTTTGTTTTAAATATTTTTACATTTCTGCCATACTTCTTCAAGATTTGAAAACGAGCCATTGTTTTAAAAAACAATTAATGTCCATATTTATGTAGATTCAATATTTATAAGTGTTTAAATCAATGTTGTTTCCCAATGTTTACAATTTTTGAGCAAAAAAAGCTTTTAATAGACTTTTTTATATATATCAGATTCTTTTATATTGAATATAGTCAAGATAATTAAATCCCAAAACCTTAAAAGACTCTATAGAGATAATTTTTAGACTTCTAATACACCCTTTGATGACTTCATTACAAAGGCTGTTATTCCTTCTAAGATACCATTAACTTTAAGAAAATATTAACCATCTCTTCTACACAAACACTATTTTTTTAACCCATCAAATCTTAAAAAACCTTGGAACACTTTTCAACGCTCGATACGCGTATATATATTACAAACTCATATCATAAAATGCATAAATCCACTCTAAAACCCCTGAATTCATATATAGACTTTCATTAAAAAAAAATATATCTGTGAAACTATAATTCTAAAGTTTTATTATTTCTAAGACGTATTTTTAGAAGTAGGTCTTTATTTGTATGGGGCCCAATCAGATTTATTGCTTTAATTCGATTTTTAATAAATTTTTTAATTATTAAACGCGACACTTCATGTAATCGTCATACTAAAGAGCTTGTAACACAGGGTATCCATCCGTTTAATTACCACAGGGTATCCATCCTCAGTAACATGCATCTAAGTTTATTGGTAGATTATCTAATAAGTCATAATAATCCATGTTCTTGTCTTAATAACATGGATCTGTCTAAAGAGATAGAGTGTCGTCTGTGTTTGGAAGCGAATGAGTCATATCCGACATCCTAACATAGTCTATTAGAATGTTGGACTGTTGCCCTTATTGGATGTTAAAATACCCTCAACAGCACCCATTTTGGATTCTATTCAAAAGATGGAATTTCTTCCGTTCCGTTAGGGTCTGTAAGTTAAAAGAAAGTTGAAACAAAGTCTACTTTGTTTCAAAGTAGATTTTGTAGAGAGTGTTCTACTCCCCAAGAGCCAACACTCCGTTGTTTTTCTATTCTATTCTAACCATTGATTAAATATTTTCGATAAAATAGGGCCATCAATCAACTGGTTACAGTGACAACTTTATTTCGCATTAGTGTTCATTTTTACTATTAACATCATAGTTAAAAAAATTATAGGGAAACATAACAGCCCTACCTAAAAAATGTCTAATAGTTTGTTTTAAAGCAAATTAATTGAAATTCCAATAAAATTTTTGCTAAAATTGAACTTATTTTAATTTTATTTCCAATACAAATAAATAATTATATTTGATAATTGGATATATCCTTGTATCCTTGATAATTACATCAAGGTTGCTCCAAGAGAACCAAATTAATAATTTGAAGTAATAATTTTTCAGAAATCATTTTTTTTAATTGCATTAAAATAATATCGAAATTTTACTGGATCATAGTAACTTACCTGAGGACGACGATGGGGAGTGGCGTAAAGTAGTCGCCATTGCAATAGAATTTATTTCCGATTCTCGTGACCACATTTTAAGTTAAATTTTACTTTCGAACTTATTAATTAATTATTTTTATAGGTAAGTTGGAACGTTTTATAGTATATATTTTTATATTTTAATTTATATTAATTTACTAGCATTGTTAAATAATTTTTATAATTTGGCGAATATTTAGAAAGATATCTGAAAATTGCAAAATGTTAGGAGAGAATTGTGAACCCCAATCCAAAAGCAGAGTTATACAAAGTTTGATCAAGAATGTGTCTCCAATACGTATTTTAAAGAGAAGAATAGTGCTAAAAAACGAATACAAAACTAGTAATATCGACACAATTATTGACGAAATTGTCGGAAAACTCAATAAAGATGTTATTCTTAAGAATGTAGTACTGTTGATATCTCCTCTCGGAAAAGAGGACAAAAAATTCAATTTACATATTCTAAATAAAAAAACAAAGGATCATTTGGGTATGTTTACTGCATCAAATAAAGACGTCTTACGTATCAAATCACATGTAAAATACCAGGACTATATTATTGCAACAACAAATAAACCAATGGACTTAAGATTTGTAATTAAACATCCTGGATTAATTTATGTGTTATTGGAATCTGAAAATTGCATTACTTGCAAACCAATAACTGTCAAACTATTTAAGGAGTTAAGTAATGAAATTAATAGTTCAACAGAACCAATACCAAAAAAAATTGATCAGTTTTTCCATTGGGCTGAACAAAGTCGTCATACATTGACTATACGGCCTAAAATGTTATTGAATCCTTCAGATATAAGAGACGAACATTCAAACACATATAAATCTGAAGTGAAGTTTTATGTTGATTGTTTTCGAAAAGACACATATATAAGTTCTATACTCTTAAACTCAAGTCAAATACAGGAATATTTACGTAAATATAGTTTACTTTTAGAGAACACAGAGGTCACTAAACACCAATGGAAACATACTGAATACAAAACAGTGGTGTCACGTTTAACAACTTTTTGTGCGTGGTTTAGAATGCATATGTTTTCTGACGTTATAAGCGCAATTATTTGTAAAAAGACTTGAAAAAGAATTAAATTACTTCCATTACCTTTCAATTTTTTTTTTTCTTTAATGTACTGTATTAAAAAAGAAACAACCGATTTAGTTCTACTGTGCCAATGTCCAGCACTGGCTAGCAGAAAGAAGACTGTCTTGGGAATCCATTGGAGTTGATGATGACTTGGCAGGCAACCTTAAGCTAAATGAGCTGTTTGCATTAACAAGCGATGTAGTTATGCAAACGGAAGCCACTTTAGCTATAACTTAATAACTATATCCGAGAATTAAAGAACAAAGAAGGACCCAAGTCGTTTCGTGGTCTACTTCGACTAATACTTTACTTCAGTGGGGCCACTTGTTGGGCGGTGCGTTGTCCCAACGTCCTACAATATATATAGTTCTATTGTTGCAAAAACACTATTAGCGCTTTGGTTTAATAATTGTAGACTAAACAAAATTGTAGATTTCGTTCATTTTAAAGATTTTAAAACTGTAACAGTCACTATATACCATAAATCAGCATGTTTTTAACTCTATCAGTATAATTGTTTATATATACACTATAAAAAAAATTGACCTCAGAGTAATACAATTAAGTTCTTATTAAAATGGTAGTAACCAACTATAAATTTGTGTAGCAGAAAAAAATTTTATTATTTAGAATGATAATATAATCGATAATTGATCTTTTGATCGGTTTATGTATAGACAATATAATATAACGTGCCTGTAGTTTGTAAAGAAAGTCATTATTTTATGAAAACAATGTGTTTATTTTAAAAAAAACATAGTGAAGAAAGCATCTTTTGAGGCTAATGATGAAATCAGCAAATCTGTCCGGTTAAGAAAACTGTCAGCTCAAAAGAACGTACTCTGGAAGTTAAATGAAAGAGAGAAAGAGGTCCATTTATGAGGTAAAACGTTTGTTTATTAGAATTTTTATTGTGTAATATTCATACACCGTTTTCAATGAGTGGAAGTAGTGTGGAGCTGGACAAGTTGTGATATTTTTATTTAAAAGAACTACTCAACAATAAGAAACAAAATCAAACATATAGTTCACTCGTTTCTATATGAACTACTTTAATGAATTAATTTTTCCTATAAGCTTCTGGTATTTTATAAAAATAATTATTTGTTTCTAATTTTTGTATTAAAATTCAATTCAAGAAGAATAAATTGTTTGTATTGACGATCTATTTAGTTGTGAATGTTTATTAAGGGTATTATCATGTTGTTATTGGTGATAAATACTTATCATTTACGATAAGTAAATGATATTTTTTTATTTGTATACAGTGTATTAAGCTTCATTTAATTTTTTAAATTAATTATTTTTTACATCATGCAGCGAAAAATAAAAAATTGACAACAAAAACATTTAATGGAGTAATTCATTTGTTCATTTTATTATATGAGCTTAGTTGAGCACTATCGGCATACATTAACAAAGCGAAAGAGTTTATAAATATAATAAAATAACATTAACTCATTTTTAATTGAATTTGAACGACGAAAATATCAAAATAAAAATTAAAATAATAATTAAAACAAAAATAAAAGACTCGAACCATTTTTATCAGGAGTTTTGTAATGGAGATATTTTCAATGTTCAATTTGACTTAAGTCAATGGCGTTGAAAATTTTTAATTCACTATTTTTTGAAGATATCTTTTCAAAAATAATTCAAAAGATCAAGTGAAAAAAAAAAATTTAACTATTCCCATAATCTGTTAAAGTCTCTGCTTCAGTTGAAACTAATACTCGCATATTTTAGTTGTAAGTATTAATGTTGGCGGATTTATTGTTTTTTAATTTCATCTATTCATCTATCTTATTATATCTATTAAAAACATTGAAAATTATTCGCAGATGATATATAACTCCTCTTTTTACAAAGAATAAACAGTAACGCTTCAGTCCCGGATATCACGAGTTTATTAACGACAAAGTAGGCTTCGAACATGATAATTCATTAAGACATATAGTTATCGATGGAGAAAAATTGCAGCTTTAGATATTATTAGAAGAGTATTGTATTGCCAATGGAAACATATTTAGTTGCTTAATACACTTGCATATTTAGCCATCAGTGAATTGTACCTACATGACTTATGAATCAATGTTCAAAAGTTTGTACTTATGGACAGGTTTATTTGAAGGTAACAAAAATTAAGAGCCCTATATATTATGTTAACACTACCTCTAACCAAATTTATAAAATTTGTTTGATATAAGTATTTAAGTTGTAATATATACTTTATTGCTTATTTGGATTATTTAAAAACTCATTTATTTAACTTTTTTTGTTTATTAATTGCTTTAGACTAAAATTCTTATACCATAATTTCAATTAGTGTATTTAAAAGTGGTGTTCTTTTCGAAAAAAAAATTTCATAAATAACTACCATAACTACAATAAACAATACAAAACAAAAATGTTTTATACTTCCTTATATACACTTTTACATTATATAAAGATAAAAATATTTTATTCTCTTTTACTACCTAACAGGAAAATAAACAGTCATACAGTAAACTAAGTGTCCATGAATTTTTTATTAAGTTAAAAAATCAATAACTTAATAGGTAATAAAACTTTAAGGCTAATGGAAGAGTTGCGTTTATTATTTAAAAAAGAATTACATCAAAAACGTATTTTCTTTTTCAATTTATTTCAAATTTAATATGACGTAGGAAACTGTTTTTAAATAGAAGCATTCCAATAGTAATGAATTACAACAGCACTTTATTTCTGGTTAATAGAATTCTTACCTGACCATACAGCTATTTGCAGTACTATCTAATACCAATCAGTGATTTTTGTAAATACTTCTGGGATTAAATTATCCGTAAATAATTTTTAAGTGCAAATAACAAGGATTATAATTATTAATTACAATTAATTAATTACAAAGAAAAGGTTAAAGAACTTTTTTGTAATTATATGTAATTTGCTCTCTAAACCCTGTTGTGCTTAATTTAGTTCGAGTTATAGATGTTCGAGTTATGGAAATTTGACTGTATAAGGAATTTTTAAAAACAAAAAATATATATCTTATATATGACCTGAAGATCACAGATGGTTATCCATAAAATCATGAAGGTTTACTCTTTTTTAAGATGTTTGAATTTTGAAATATATTTGCCTAACATTAGGATGGGTTTCTAATTTTTGGTGTTGAAATCATATTATAAAATAGATTCAAAAAGATTAATTTCTTTTGAATTAATGAAATAATGCCTATAATATATAAATATAATAATCTCCAATCAAACAATAATAATGACAAAAAAATATATAAATCTATTGATTATGTTCCGAAATTGTCAAACCAAATAATGAATTCTAATATATATGACAAGGAACGTTATAAAATCACTCAGAAGACAACTAACACAATAGCTAAATTTTATAGCAATACTAAAACAAAAATTAATAATAAAGACAAATCTAATTTAGTGTACCAGCTGAACTGTAAAGGTGATGGGTACAATGTATGTAACAAAATATATATAGGTACGACTAAAAATACTTTAGACAAGGATGGCTGAACATAAACATAGTTTAAAAAATAAAAATGGTGCTGAAGCCAATACAGCATTGGCTGTACATTGTATGGAGCATAAACATGAACCTGATTTTGAGAAGGCAAAAATCTTATATGAAGAAAGGAACCATAACAAGAGGTACTTTCTGGAAATGCTCTCAATATTTCAAGTGCCCAATAATATAAGACTTAATTATAAAACTGATACGGACAACTGTGCTCAGGCTTATAGAAATATTATAAACAAATGACACAGAATGTTTGTAAAGTTTTTTTGTTTCTTTTTTTCAAAATACGATGGAACATCGTATATTTTGTTTAGTTTTCCCTGAAGATGACTATTGAAGATATGTTAGTCGAAATATCGGAAGAATTATTTTTAATAAAGTATAAATGATTTTTAAATATAAATAATAAATTAGTGTCTTTTTTATTTCTATTTGAATTTGACCAATTAGCCCGATAACAAATTATTATAATAATAGGCCTTTTCGGTGGCTCGCAAGTACGGCAAAAAATGCATGTTGGCCTATGTTGGCCACGCGAATCATTGGCATCACTGTTACAATCTGTCAAATGTTTTGTTTTGACAAACAGTAAATCTTGTATATGTGCATATAAATCAAATATATTTTTATGAAAATATTATAAAATTAAAAAGAACACGGAATTAAAATGAATGGTAAGAATATTGGAAATTTAAAAATAAAACACTAAGATAAGTAAATTTTTGAAGGTACTGTCGATGTTGGGAGACATCGCAACGTTTTGCAGCGGCCGAGGGACGAGGATTTTTTAAATGTTATGAATGCACTCTAGAAAACACTTCGTTTCCTTTGTGGTCCATAGTTTGCGTGTATTTCTATAAAAAATTTTTTTAGAAAAACTTTAAAAATTATGTTTGTTTTATTAATTTTACGTATGTAAACTACAAATTAAATGAAATAAAATAAATGTTACTTGGTAATAACTAACATAATAAAAAATTCAATGTGCTCAATACTTACGATTTGTCCATTCTTATTATTTCTTCGTTACTTTTCAAAATTTTTCAAATTTTTGAATTCTGTTTGAATTTTTATTTCCTCAATTTTTGACATTTGATTGCACTATTCGTTGGAATTTTCAATGAAGGTTCACAATAGTTCGCTTATTGCGTTGGTAACATTTTTTTTTTTACTGGCCGATGTGGTTGGCCAGCATAACTATGCTGGCCGAGGTAGAGAAAATAGTGTTGTTGTTTTGCATACATTGCGGCCAGTATAGGCCTGCATAGGCCAACAACTTGCTGTTTTTTGCCGTACTTGCGAGCCACCGAATACACCTAATATAATAATAGTATTTTGCATAAGGTTCATGCGGTCTATAAACAACAAGAAAAATCGGCAAAAGCTATAATTGAATCAAAGCAAAATTTGATTCACAAGCTTCTAAAACCAAGAAATTAGTTTCTGTTGATACAAACAGGCAGTGATATATAGATCGATTTATCTCATCATACTTAT